GATAATAATAATCATCATGGGGCAGCTAGGTGGTGCATTGGATAGAGTGCTGGGCCTAAAGTCAGAAATCTTCCTGAGTTAAAATCTGGCCTCAGATCCTTACTAGCTGTGTGACCTTGGGCAAGTCACTTCACCCTGTTTGCCTCAGTTTCCTCATCTGTAAAGTGAGTTGAAGAAAGAAATGGCAAACCACCTCTCTGCCAAAAAAACCCCAAATGGGGTCACAAAGAGTCAGACGTGACTGGAACAACTGAATAATACTTGTCATACCTAACTCACTGGTTTTTTGTGAGGATCAAATGATTTCATGTAAGTAATAAACTTTGCAGATTTTAAAGTGCTGTGTAAATGTTCTATTTTTTTTTATCATTGTGGTTTTTGTTCATTATTATCAACAGGCATTTATTAAAACCCCTACTATATTCCAGGTACTCTGCTAAGTCTTGGGGTTATAAAAATAAAACAGTCCCTGCTGTCAGACAGCTCGTGTTCTATTGGGGGATGAGGGGTGGGGAACAAAATGCATCCGGCAAAGGAAAATACAAAATATATATAAAGTAGAAATGATGTGGTTTTGGGAGGAGGGCACTAGCAACGGGGAGGGGGGTCCACAATAGGCTTCTTGTAGAAGGGAGCCCTTGAGCTTCACTCTGAAAGACACTAGGGAATCTAAGAGGGAGAGATTGTATTCTGCATAGGAGGATAATGTGCAAAGGCATGGAGATAAACCAGTGTCCAGAGGAGTGCATCCAGGTTAGTGAAGGGCCTTGACAATGTCTCATTTGAGGATCAATTCAAAGAAGTGGGCACGTTTGGCAAGGGACAGTAATAGCTGTCTCCAAGAATTTGAAAAGCTGTTATGTAGAGGAGGATTAATTGGTTCTGTTGGGCCCCACGGGGCACAACTAAGAGCAACGGGAGGAAGCTGGAGTTGATGTTTACAATGAGAGCCATCTCAAAGCCTAATGAGCAGCCTGAAGAGGTGATGAGTTCCCCTTCACTGGAGGACTTCAAGCAGAAGCTGGACTTGTCTGGTATGCTAGCGTGAGGATTTCTTTCATGTATGCCTTAGAATAGATGGCTGCTGTGGCCCCTTCCAGTTTGCAAATTCTCTGCATGAAGGGTGGCAAAAAGGCAAGACCAGGGAAGTCATTTGTCCAAGGTTACACAGTCAAAAAAGCTGGCACCAGAACTGAGGTCTCCCAACTCTTTGTATGATTTGTTTTTTGTAAGTATACTTTGCATTCTTGCTGGAATTCAAAGGGCAAATTTTGTTAGATCAAATGTTATTATCATAATCACTCTTTAACAAAAGATTTCCAGATGCTCACAGACCATCCATTTATTTCTTTATTTATTTTTAGGCAATTGGGGTTAAGTGACTTGACCAGGGTCACACAGCTAGTGTCAGGTGTTTCGTCTGAGGCAGGATTTGAACTCAGGTCTTCCTGACTTCAGGGCCCATGCTGTATTCATTGCGCCACCTAGCTGTGCCCCCCCATCCATTTATTTCTAAAAGTGCTTGACATAAAATCCTGGTAGAACAACAAGAAAAAAAAAACCCAAGAACAAAACGGTACCATTTCTTGGAGTTCATTGTAAGGAAGTTTTGCCTGTGAAGAGGGAAAACAGTATGAAACCTCAAAGTAGTTGGAATACCTTGTTGTAAATTCTATATAAGCAGAAGAGTTAATTTTTTTCTTCAAGAATACTTTTTTTTTACAAGAAAAAGAAAAATTCTTTAGTTCTCTATTACCTTTAAGTAAGAGTACTAATGGTTCTATCATCTTATCAGTCAATCAATAACCAATCAATTTTCCTACTATGTGCTAGGAATTGAGGGATACAAAGACACAATGTAAATAGTACCTATCCTCAAAAGGAGTTTGTGTTGGGTGTATACAAGGGATATGTGTGTGTAAAGGTGACCATATATAGGTATAGACAAAATAAGTATAAAGTTAACCTTGGGGAAGAAGGTGGTGTGTGTAACAAAGCCTTTATGGATAAAGTAGTGCTTGAGATGACTTGAAGTAAACCAGGTAAATCCTAAGAAGTGGAGATGAAGAGGGAGAGCATTCCAAGCACAAGGGACAGCCCAGTCAGTTAATAAACATTTATTAATAGACATACTCTGCATCAGGCACTATGCTAACCACTGAGGAGACAAAGAAAGGCAAAAACCAGTCCAGGCTTTCAAGGAGTTCACGGTCCAGTGGAGGAGACCACATACAAACAACTATTTACAGAAAAGCTATTTCCTGGATAAATTAGAAGTAATCAGTAGAAGGAAGGCACTAGAATTAAGGAAGATCAGAAAAGGCTTCTCGTAGAGGTGGGATTAGCCAGAGTAAAGGGCAGGGAGATGAAGATGGAGGAATACCAAGCAGACAAGTGGGTCTGACCTTAGAGTGTGTGGAGGAGGGTAAAGTACAATAAGGTGGAAAGGCAGGATGGGGACAAGTTGTGAAGACCTTTGACTATCAAAGAGAAGAGCTTATATTTAATCTTGGAGGGAATAGGGAGCCACTGGAGTTTATGTCTTGCTATATAATGGGTCCACTTCCTTTTCTGGTCATTCATCTGTTTGATGAGATCCTTGATGCTGCTTTTCCTGTGTAATTCTTCCATGAGAATAGCTTGCATCCTACTCACTCACATCCTCCATTAACCTTGCCATTGCCTTTCAGATGACTTGTAGTTTGTATTCTTCAGAGATTAAAATAGTATTCTTTGATTAGAAGTCGTAGAGTATTATTTGGAGAATATTATTGTTAAAGAGGTGCAGAGCAATTTTAATATTAGCCTAAGCAAAACACAGTTAGGAAGGTAGATGTTTCCTTGAAATAAATGTCATCAAATATATGCGATTTTTTTGGGGATGGGGCAACCCACATGACTACTCCCATCCATTTGAGAGCAATAAAGGCACCTACAGGGAAGAATTGAATTAAAGGTATCAAAAGAAGATTTTGTAGTTTTACAGGCAGAGGACTAAGGCTGAATGAGTAAGGAGTAATAGTAATGAATAAAGTGGTTTCCTAGAATTAATGAATTTACAAAATATCCTGGTGAAGCAGATCACTGTTTTCTATCAGGCCCTCCTTCCCACTGCCACCTGGAGCCTGTGTTCACAAACTCAGTATCTTCCTGAAGAGGGAATCAGATCTGGGAGGAAAGGCCTAGATTCCAGATCGTGAGATCCTGCTTGCCTTTTTTGTTGGGGAAAAAGAAAAATGAAGGAACATGCCCAATCAAGGTCATTTAGCAAATCAGAGAAATTGCTGGGAGGAGAACTTGTACAATCCTGACTGATCCTCAGTCCTGTTTGGGTGGCATTCACACTTAGCAGGCACCTCTATTGCTGCCAAGATCATAGGCAGCAGAAAGATTGCCCGGGCACAAGCAGCCCAAGAGTGTAAGTAACAGAAACCAACCAACACTAGGGATGGGCTGACTCACTGTGAGTGATCCCCTAAGTGCCTGTTCCTCACTTTGCTTTACCAACCCTTAGAAGTTTGCTATCTCTATTCCTTCCCTCTCCATTACAGTAATACTGCAGGGCAATTCATTTCTCAGGACCAGAGCTCTCTTTCCCATCCACCAGCCAGAGACCTGTCCAATAAAACAGCTAAGATGGAGCAAACTAGGTGATTTGGGGGTAGTCCAATCTCAGTTGGACACATAGCCCATATGCAGCACACACATTATGCAAAGACCTTGTATTAGGGAAACATGGGGTATTTGTAGAATTGTGAAAAGAGCAGAGGATCAAGAGGATTGACTTCTACTTAATTCTATGACCTTGGACCAATCCCTAAATTTCTCTGTTGTTGTTGTTCAGTCATTTTAATCATGTCCAACTCTTTATGATCCTATTTGGGGTTTTCTTGGCAGAGATACTAGAGTGGTTTGCTAGTTCCTTCTCCAGCTCATTTTACAGATGAGGAAACAGAGGCAAACAGGGTTAAGTGACTGTCCCAGGGTCACATAGCCAGTAAGTGTCTGAGACCAGATTTGAACTCAGGAAGTTGAGTATTCCTGACTCTAGGCTCAGCACTCTACCCACTGCAACACCTAGCTGCTCTTTAATTTCTCTGTGTCTTGTTTATTAATCTGTACAATGGAAGTAGAATTATTGAATAGTAAACTCAGGTATTCCTAACTCCAGGCCCAGCACTCTACTCTCTGAGCCCCTCAGCTGCCTCCTGAGCTTAAATCTCGGTTTTTGAGTGCAGGGTTTGGTCACTTTAGTAAATGCCACTGGACTGGTGGAAGGAGCTGTGGTTTAATAGAAGAATTGGTAGTGAGCAAATCTAGATTACTCTGGAATTAACTAGTTGTGCCATGTTGGGCAAGCTGCTTCACCTCTCAGTTATAGTTTTCTTTCCTACAAAATGAGGAGGTGGAATTTGTTAAGGATGGATCTTGTGAGATCCATGATGTAATTATTAATGTCTCCACTTTACAGATGGAGAAAGTGAGACTCAGAGTTAAGTGACTGACCAAATCACAGACCCAGAGCTAATGACTGCATAAAACCCGGATTGGGGTCTGTGTGACCAAGGATCCAACATTTCCGCCTCTGATATTCTAAGATTCTGACCCCGTAAAGGCCCGGAAAAAGCACCGGGCTGAGGGATTTCATTAGCCTCTTGCTTCCCTAATGCCTACCGAAACGAAAAAACCTCAGGCCTCAAAATGAACACTCCCCCGCCCCCCCCGTACAAAGTTCAGTGTCTCCTCTCCACTTCCCCTTCGCCAAACGGGAGCTCAAAGTTAGGAGCCAAGGCAAGCCAAGATAGATTCCCTTAGGGGAAGTTTGGGGTTTACCTGCCTCCTCCCTCCCCTCTCCTGCTCGTCTCCTCCCTTACTCTCCCTGGGCTCCCGGCCCAGCCCGCCCCAGGTGATGCAAGGTGACCCCCCCCCCAGCCCCGCCCCGCCTTGCCCTTCCCCTGCCTGGCCCGCCCCACTCCGCTCTGCAGCCCAGACCGCGTCCTGTCCTGGGGCGCGCTGGGGAGCCCTGAGAGCTTGCGGAGAGCGTCCAGGAGCGGGACCGGGGAGCCGCTGCGAGGGGCGCAGGTGAGCGACTTGGGGAGCTAAAGGAGGTGCGGTGCTAGGCAAGGGGAAATGGGGTGGGGAGAGCGAGGAAAAGCGCCCTGCCTTGCAGGGAAGATCTCCCCAAAACCCTCGGTCAGTCTCGGGTTCAATTTCCTTCTGCCCGGGCTGCCGCCAGCTCCGGCTCCGGCCCCGGCCCCACACTTCTCCACCTTGCCCTTCCAGCTCTGGCTCAGTCCCTGACCTGCCCCGTCTGGAGCAGAAGAGATCAGACTGGAAAGGTGGGGGGTAGGGGTGCAGGGGCGGGCTAGTGGGGTTCCCGGGGGCGGGGAGCCCGTTTGCTGAAGGTAGTGAAGGACTTTGGACGCGAGACCACTGGGGGAGGTGCGCTTGTTGTTCGGGCAGAGGCGGCTGAGGCTCGGGCTGCCCAGTTGTGATAGCGGGGCACAGCAGGAGAGAGCTGAGGCAGCTCTCTCTCGCCCTGGCAGGCTGTGAATGGGTGAATGGGCTTGGTATGCACCAGTGGAGCAGAATCGAACTTTTGGAAAGGGATGGGGGCACCCTGGGGGGTGGGAAGAGAGATTCACTGGCTGCACATCTGGAGACTAGCTAGGGGTGGAGGGGTGAGGGGAGAGGGTACAGTAAGTCACAGTGAGAGTTCCTGGAGCTCTTGCAGTGCAGGCTGTGAAATGTAAATTTGACTCTACGTGGGTTTCACTCTGGGTGGGTCATTCACTTGCTTCTCTGTCATTTTGTTGTAGATGAAGACGGTGGGGGAGTAATTGATTACTTTAAAAAATTTTTTAAATTAAGTGTACATTTATATTATAGAACTGAAGTGCCGCTGAGGTTATCTGAAATCTTAGTGGGGAGAGAGCAATAGTTTCCGAGGGATACCAGCTTTCAAATCTTAACTCTACCATTTGCTAATGACCTGGAAAACCTTGGGCAAATCAGTTAACCTCTCTGGGCCTCAGTTTCCTCATCTGTAAAATGAGGGAGTTGGATTAAATAATCTCCAATTCAACAAGCATTTATTCAGCACTGTGCTTCCTTCTTTCCTAGCTCCAGGCCCTGGGGATAAAAAGACCAACTCTAAATCAATGATCCTTTGATCCTAAATTCTTTGCCTGAAAATTGAAGGGCTTTTTTTTTTTTTTTTTTTGAGCGATGAGGTATTCTGGGAGCACCGTATTCATCAGTGATCCTCCATGACAATGTTATCATCCCCACCTGGCAATCCCCACTTTGCTCAGGAAGGAAAAACCTGGGTGGTTGGGTGAGTGGGTGCAATTGGCAACTACTTTAGGAGGGTAGATTTTTTTTTTGGGTGGGTTTGAAGCCACTTTGTAAAGCTCTAGAAGGATATTAGTTTATATCAAGAAGATAAGTCTTGAAATGGCTACTTTCCCCAAAAGTCCTTGACAACCACATTGTGACTCATAGGGAACACCAGGTCATAGTATGAACCTTGAAGATAGTCTGTTTTTTAGATAAAAATCATCTTTGCCATCCCTTTCTTTGCTTCACAATATCATGCAAAACAGAGGCACCTGATACCAAGGAGTTGTTTGAAGGGATTCCATATCTGAATAATATCAGGATAGAGACTGAACCTATGATTTTGTTGGAAAAGTGATCTTTTCTGCCACTGCAAGTTGGCATCTTCTTGCAATTTTTAGTCTTAGAGCAGAGGTTTTTAATTTGATGTCTGTGAGCTTGTTCTGAAAAAAATTGGTAACAGTATTTCAATATAATTGGCTTTCTTTGTAATCCTATACATTTTTTCCATTTAAATACATTATTCTGAGAAGGGGTCAATAAGATTCATTGGATTGCCAAAAGGGTCCATGACACAAAAAAATGTTAAGAACCATTGGCTAAGACAGTTGCCTAAAAGACTTAAAGGTTAAGTGACTTGCCCAGGGTCACATAGCCAGGCAGTGTCAGAGGCAGGACTCGAACCCATGTCTTCCTGACTTCAGGGCCAATACGCTAAACACTACTTCTTTACGACTAATGCTTCTCATCAGTTCATTAACAAGTGTTTATTTAAGGCTTATTATGTCCTGTCTCTGCCAATACTAACATCCTCACTTGATGCTTCCTTATGGCATCGAGGTTACTGACCTTGGATTTGCCCAGACTGTGTCAGCAGAAAGCAAGCTCTGGCTGGTCCTATGAAGCTGGCAAGGCCCGGTGATGGACTGAGTATCTCTCATCTGAGGACCAGGCTGGCTAGGTTTAGAGTGACTCATTACCAGAAGGTTAGCCATGGAGCAAAGGATTATTACGTGGTACCACAGCAACTTGTGAAGACTGGCTTCTAAGACAGAGGGCTTATGATATGGAGAAAATGCCCATATTCACAAAATTACTGATCCTTTCAGTTGAAGAAGGAAGTACTATATTATACTTGGTACTATGCTAGGGAATGGGGGGAAGGGTGGTAAATGCTTCCCCCCCCAAAAAAAAAACCCCTAATATGATTTATCTGCAAAGAACCTATAAACTAGATTATATTTCGAGACCATGTTTCTTTTATTTTTCAAATTCTTAGTTTTTCTCAACCTGACAAAGAACAGAAGGGTTTTAAATAACTTCAATTTAACTAGCATTTATTAAGCATTTACTATTTGCAGGCATTGCATTAGGTGCTGGGGATACAAAGACAAAAATGAAGTCATTTCTGCCTTCAGAGAACTTGTATCTTTGCGGGGTATGGGGAAAATATGTGTATGAAAAAATAAATATTATATGCAAACAGATATACATATATATATATATTCTCATTCTCTCTTTCTCCCCCTCCCCTTGTCTTCTTCTCCCTCCACTCACACACCCCATAAATTAAAAACAAAATAATTTCTGTAGGAGATGGGTGGGGAAGACCATTACCAACTGAGGGGTCTCGCCTGAGTTCTGGATGCAATTATCTCTTTGCAGATGATTCTCAGATTACATCATCCACCCGTAACTTCTTGAATTCCAATCCCAAATCTCCAGCTGTCTCTTGGACATCTCAAACTGGGTATCCTGTAGACATCTGACACTCAGCATATCTGAAGCTAAACTGATCTTTCTCCTTCAATACCTTCTCTATTACTGTTGAGGAGATCACCATCCTCCCACTTACCGAGGCTTGAAATTGAGGTGTCATCTACAATTTCTCTCTCTGTCTCTCTCTCTCTGTCTCTGTTTCTCTCTATTTCTCTGTCTCTGTCACACACCCACCCACACCCTCTTCTCCCAAATATAATCAGTTGCCAGATCCTATTGATTTTAGGCAGTTAGGTGTCATAGTGGATAGGGCACTGAGCCTGGAGTGAGGAAAACTCATCTTTCTTGAGTTCAAATCTGGCCTCAGTTACTTACTAACTGTGTAACCTTGGTCAGGTCACTTATCCCTGTTTGCCTCAGTTTCCTCATCTGTAAAATGAACTGAAAAAGGAAATGACAAATCTCTCTAGTATCTCTGCCAAGAAAACCCCAAACGGGGTCACGAAGAGTTATACGCCACTCAACAACAACAATTGATTCTACCTTCTACACATCTTTTTGTATACACCTCCTTCTCTCCTCTGACCCTACCACCATCCTGGTGCAGGCCCTTATCACCTCATACCTGGATTATTGCAGTAGCCTTCTTGTTGGTCTCAGTGCTTCAAGTCTCTCCCCATTCCAGTTCATATTCCATTCAGTTGTTAATCTTCCTAAAGCCCAGATCTGACCATGTGAACCTCCCCACCCCCCATTTCAAACCACTCTTGGGACTCCCTATCCATTCAAGATCAAATTCAAAATCCTCTCTTTAGCTTTTAAAACCCTTCATAATCTATCTCTTTCCTCAATTTTTGGTCTTTTTTTTAAAATACTCATCGTCCTCCATGTACCCTGTAACCCAGAGACGCTGACTTCTTTGTTGTTCTTCAAACACAAGAATAACACTCCACCTCTGGAATCCAGCAATTTTCAATGGCTGTTCCCCATGTCTGGAATTCATTCCCATTTCATTTCTATTTCCTAGCTTCTCTGGATTCCCCATCTTCCTTCAAGTAAGTTCCAGCTAAAATCTCATCTCTTACAAGAAGTCTTTCCCAATCCCACTTAATTCTAGTGCCTTCCCTTTTGTAATGATCTCTACTGGGCCTGGAGTCAAGAAGATCTGAGTTCAAATGTGACCTCAGACACTTCCTAGCTATGTGACCCTGGGCAATCACTTAACCATGGTTTTTCCTCAGTTTCCCCAACTGTAAAATATGGATAATACTTTGGAGGGTATTGTAAGAATCAAGTGAGATAATATTTGTAAAAAACTCTTAGTACAGTGCTGTATGTATCCTCTACCCCCCCCATCTTTCAGAGGAATAGGTTAAAGGACCATTGCTCATCTCCCATAGTTCATCTTAACTTAGAAAAAAGATAGAAAAGAATCAAACATGCAATTGGAAACTCCCCTAGATGATGTGCTCCAAATAAATTTATCAAAACATTTGTCCATTCAATTAGTTATCCATTCTATCTCTTCTTCTTTGAGACAGTTAGATGGCTCAGTGCACAAAGAGCTGTACAAAATAGGCTCTATATAAATGCTTCTTCCCCTTTCCCTTCCCCTTTTACTTTCCCTTTTATCTGATACGTAACTTTGTTCATAGTTTCCCATGTTAGACTGTAAGTTTCTTGTTTCTTGTCTTTCTTTGTATCCCCAGCACTTGGCACAATGCCTGGCACATAGAAGTTGTTTAATAAATATTGGTTGGTTGACTGTGGGATTGAAGGTGAGAAAGGAATATAATCCATGTGAGTACAAGCACCCCATCACATGCATTAGGGTGGGGAGATAGACTATTCAAACCCCCAGAGGTGGGAGATGGAATGTCCTGTGTGAAGAACAGCGAAAAAGCCAATTTGGTGGAAGTGTGGAGTCCAGGATAATGTTCAGGACTTGGAACTTGGTAGATCTGGGTATGATTCTCACCTCCGACATGTGGAACATGTACCCTTGTGGGGTTGTTGTGGGGCTC